TTGGCACTCGCAACAACTAGTTTGCAATCCCAAGTAGTGATATTGCTTTTGCACCTCGTGTCGGATTGAAGGGGTACTTCTCCGACATCAGGTTTTGGGGCCAAGCGACGTAGCTGGGACGTTGTTGATAGTTCTCCGACCCATGCTCTTTTCGATCCCGATGAATGCTTGTCTTTTTCCCGCTTAATGAGATAGTCATTAGTGACCAAAGAAGACCTGGCTTCTCCTGAGGTGACGGAGGTGGCCCCATGACGTCTATGCCCCATTGACCGGGTGATCGGTGGTTGTCGGTCAGAGTCATGGCATGTTGGCTTTGAGAAGGAATGGGAACCTGAGAAGACCTGTTGGGGGAGTTCGAGTCCCACGGATGACACCAAATGTTGTGATATGTGCTCCGAGCTTAACGCCGTTTGGGGATAGCTTCGTCTGGGTTAAGCCTGAGAATCACAACAAAGAAAGAACCGGCGTAAGTCGTCGTCCGGGAGGTGGTCTCGGAACGAGGCTCCGACGGTCTAGTCAGTAATTTGGACGAGAGAATGAGAGATTTCGGGTTTAGTTTAAGGTAGAGAGTGAGGCGATCCCTTCTTCTCGAGAAGAAAGGTTTCTTTTTATACCTGTCGTCGTGGGAGCATGTCCCCGACAATACATTTTGTCTTGTCTGGGCTGACAAGACGTAGAGGCGTCCCATTGGCGGATCGTGCACCACTAGCGGTTATCTGCTAGTGGTGTAGAACTACCAAAGGGCAACGCTCTGAGTGCTAAACTTGTCGTTGTGGGGAGCAGTTAGTACTCTTTTGGCTTGTTGTTGACTAGATTTTCTCGTTTGGAGTTGGACCTTGGCACTAGAGCGCTGGGATCTAAGTGTGAGGTCGCGAGGGCGAGTGCCCGGGCCTAGCACTTATGATGGGTAGCAACTGTTAGCTGGGTCGTCCTTTAGATAACTGTTCTGTTATCTTTGACGTATTCCTAGAGGGATACGTTAACACGTAGGGGATATTTTTAAAATGTTTTCGGGTTCGAGGGCGGGTGGGGACGGATATTACCCCCGTCTAGTTTTCAGGGTAGGGAGTACCATCCCGAATACCCCGTGGGGGCCCCGAAGTAATTATCCCATATTTAATTATTTTATTTATAAAAAAATAATTATTAACCTTAAAGTAGTCATTGTGTCATTCATAACTTATATTTAATAACTAGTGTAATATGTAAGGTTAAAAGAAATAAACAAATGAAAAAATAAAGTCAATAAGGTTAAACATATGTTTTCGGGCCAAAAGGGGTTAACGTGTGATTCACGGGAAACGAGGGCGGGATCGGGATCATGAGCGATCTCGAAATTCAAAGTCGGGTTCAGGGTCGGGGGAAACAATTGAGTTCGGAGGCGGGGGCGGGAGGCAGGAGAGGCTATTGTTAGCCGATATCAATTTTACTTATGGGAAATTATTACTGAAACATGATATCAGAGCTGACATCCGCACCCCCGTGGCTCAGCACATCCCTCACATCCCTATTTATTGAAATAGCTATTTTCATCCCTATTTGCTCCCGTTGACATCCTAGTTTACATGTCTATTTGTGTTATTCAGCTAATTTTTCAAATAAAAGTTAGTTTTTTAACTAATTTGTCAAGAATAGCCTTAGACGTTTATTCACAGCGACATCTTTTTCTTGGATTCAAATAGGAAATAACAATAACGAAACATAAAGATAAAAAAAGCATTTAATTTCCCAAAAATCTAATAATGAATACGAAGTCGATCAGATTATATGTGGATTGTCAAAGTTAAAATGCAAGTTGTATTAATCTCTAATCTTGGAGTTTGGCCCCAGTGCCATTGAGCCAAGTGAACACTTAACCATAACCTTTTAAATATATAAGACAAGTAAGATGAAGCACATAGAGCTCGACAAAGTCATTAAATCAATATTCTTAAAAACCATAGTACTCTTTAGACTACCATTGAAAAATGAAGATTTTGTATTTGGTTATTTGCATTTGATGCTTTGGCACATTTTGTTTTAGTAAAAGTCAATTTTAAAAGGTCACACAGTCCAAGATAAAGATTTTTCCAAGTCAATTGATTATTGGTTTTTCATCAAACCCCAGATGATGCTCATCCCTTGATTCCAGCCTTCACCACCTATATATGCTCTATAATCTATATGTAATGCATCTTCTACTACACTTTTCCACACACATGCATGCATTAAAAAGCTGTACGTTGTGCTTGTAAAACTGGACTTTGCTAGCTTGTTGTAATTACCGATATTACCTTGATGTCCTGGCGTATATATTCTAGCAAGGGTGAGAGTTCATAAACCTTATGAACAATTTCCTTTCTATGAAAACGTCGTAATTTACATTGTTGTTCTTTTTTTATTTATGGAACCGAGGAATTTTATTAAACCACAGCCTATCAAGATACTAAGGCTGGGAGAAAGAAAGAAACAAGGAAAAATACATATTAAGAGGGTGTTTGGACAGAGAAAAAAAAGGATGCATATTGTTTATTGCTTAGGCTATGTTTGGCGTACTAGCTGAAAAGTTAGCTAATAGCTGAAAAGTTAGCTGTTAAATAAAAAGGTAGCTGATAGCTGAAAAGCTAGCTGATAAAAAATAACGTTTGGTAAAATTAGCTGAAAAGCTAGCTGAAATATATATAATTACATAAAAGGACATGTAGGAGTATGTGTTTCTATAATAAATTAATGGGTGTATTTGGAAAATTTTAAAAAAGCTCCTAAAAAGCTTGTCTAAGTAGCTTTTCAAAAAGCTAGCTTATAAGCTACTTTTTGGCTTACCAAACACAACAACATAAAAAAGCTCGAAAAATAAGCTAGCTTATCAGCTAGCTGTGGCGCGCCAAACACAACCTTATTACCACCACAACTATGTTTAACTGTTTGGATAGGAATCTTTAAAAATCAACTTATTGTGGTAGAGATAAGCTGATTTTAATATTGCTTATTGCTTATTTTAATAAGCTAATAAACTATAAGTAGGGCTGTAAACGAATCAAACGAACACGAACAAGGTCTTGTTCATGTTCGTTCGTTTAAGTTAGCCGAACAACAAACGAACGAGATTTTCTTGTTCATGTTCGTTCGTTTATCAAATTACCTTGTTCATGTTCGTTCGTTTATGTTCGTGAACATGCTAAACGAACAAAGATAAAAAAAACACAATTGAACATATATGAACATAAACGAACATATAATATAGCAATATAATAAAAAAAATATATAAATGAATATAAATAAACTTAAATGAACGAACATAAACGAACGTAAATGAACATCATAAACGAACGTTCACGAACATAAATGAACGAACGAGACCATTGTTCATTTTCGTTCATTTAACTTAACGAACGATAATTTTTGTTTATGTTTGTTCATTTATTAAATAAACGAACATAAACGAACTTCCCGCCGAACAGTTCACGAACGGTTCGCCGAACGTTCAGTTCGTTTACAGCCCTAACTATAAGTTAATTTATCCAAACACTCTCTAAAATGGACAACAACTCTAACTAGCCCAATTATATATACCTCAGTGTTTAATCCATCCATAGACTATTGTAATTATATTACTTGTTGTCTTCGCCGGGGTAGTAAACACGTTTTTGAGCATTTTGTCGTTTTCACCTTCCAAATATATCAAAATGCTCAAAATCTTCCTAAGTAATAGCTAATAATGTCTTCTTTTTCAACTACCTGCAAAATTGATGTATTCACATACCTTAGTGAATCTTTGAATCTTTGGGATGGGATACAACACGATTTGAAGATCCATTCTATCATATCCTGTATTCTAATTAAGGATGCCCAAATAGTATTTCTTTTGTTTTCGTTTCCAAAAAAGAAATAAGGTATATTGTGATTTATATGCCATGACAATAATTATGTAGTTTCCAAAAAAGAAATAAGGTATATTGTGATCTATATGCCATGACAATAATTATGTAGTGATTAGTATAATATATTCTAATAAATCAAGAATCATTCTATCACATGTTAATTTTTCAAGAGTTTTTTGTGGGGCTAATGGCACAAAAACCCTCAAATTTGCATAAAATTGACGGATTTGCCCAAAGTTCAAATTTAGGTCCATTTTTGCCTTAAACTTGCATTTAATGTGTCGTTTTTGCCAAGTAGCCGGTTTCCCTTTAATCAACCGGTTACCACTTGCTTAGGTGGAAGGCTAATTAACGTCGTTTGGAAAAATCTCCAATTCCGTTACATACGTTAAACTGTCGCATCTCATCTCCCTCTATAACCCGATCACTCATCACCTTTTCCCATTTCATCGACTGTGTACACAGAGAAAAAAAAGGTTTTCTTGGAGACGATTAGGTTAAAAGTGTTCTTCAACATTTCTTCGAAAGGTAAGGTTTTTACATGTTGACTGAAATTACGTTTACATTTAACATTTCTTGAAATGTGTTCCTAAAGTTAGTGTGTTGATGCAGGAAGGTGTAATGGCTTCATCAGTATGCTGACCCCTTTGCTGGCATACATGAGCCATTTGCTGGCTTGAGTGAAATGGATTTTGAACTCCACGGCATTTACATGGACCACGAACCAGAGGAAGAATTTATGTCCTCACGTGATAAATGTAAGGATATATTCCTAAATGTTCTATTAAGTGATGAAAACCTACGAAGTTCTAGTATGGCAAATGAAATCAGAGCACAAGTGTACCATGTTACCGATTGGCAAAGTGATGAAGATGAACAGGAGGTATTGAAAAACAACTATAGAATTCATGACCCAACCATCAAGTGGGACAAGATGGTACCAAAGCTTGGTGACATCTTTGAATCCCCTACCCAAATGAAGTTTTGTGTCACCAATTATGCAGTCTCACATGGCTATAGAATATACTTTGAAAAATGTGATAGTAAAAGAATTGTAGCTAGATGTGGCAATAGGAAGGAAGAGAATAAATGCCCTTTCAGAATTTATGCTGCATGGATGTACAAAGAAAGATCTTTTCAGATCAAAGCTATGAATGGTGACCATAAATGTTCTAGGCAGTTTAAGTTTGGATCCATTGTGTCCCCTGAATGGATTGGAAGACATTATGTGACTGAAATTGCAAATAAGCCAAAGATGAAACTTCAGGAAATGATTGATGACATCAGACAAAGGTATAGGTGTGTGGTATCTATAGGACAGGTTAGAAGGGCAAGGAAATGGGCCAAAAATTTAATAGAAGGTAAACTCACTGAGCATTATGCAAGGATATGGGATTATGCCCATGAATTGTTAAGGTCAAACCCGGGGTCCACATGTCAAGTTGGTGTAACAACCAATCCAGATGGAAAGAATTATTTTCACAGGTTTTACATTTGTTTCAAAGCACTAAGTGTTAGCTGGAAAAGAGGATGTAGGAGAGTAATTGGGCTTGATGGGTGCTTTCTAAAGGGGCAGGTGAAGGGTGAACTGCTAACAGCCATTGGTAGAGATGCCAACAACCAGGTTTATCCAATTGCTTGGGCTGTTGTTGATGTGGAAAATAAGTCCAACTAGACTTGGTTCCTTGAGCTACTCAGTGGTGATCTAGACCTTATTGATGGAAGGGGCTTGGTAGTTATATCAGATCAACATAAAGTAAGTTTCTTTATAACATATTAATCCTTTTCAAATTACTTATAAATACTTACATGTATGCTGGTTTTTGTATAGGGTTTGTTGCAATCTGTTAAAGATATATTGCCACATGTGGAGCACAGGCAATGTGCCCGACACATATATGCAAATTTTAGAAAAGCTTACACTGGCTTGGAGTTCAAGAAGCTGTTTTGGGCTGCAGCTATGAGCTGTGTGGAAGGTGATTTCAAGAGACATATGGACAAAATTAAAAAGCTCAATCCTGGTGCATATGATCATCTAATGTCCAAAGAACCTGAAACATGGTGTAGAGCTTACATGAGTACAGGGTATGCATGTGAGGCAGTGGAGAATGGTATATCAGAGTGCTTCAACTCCATCATTGTGGATGCTAGGAAAAAACCATTGATCACAATGCTTGAAGAAATAAGGATATACATCATGGATAGGTTTGCTCACATGATTGAGGAAAGCACTAAATGGAATACCCGTATATGTCCAGCAGTGTTAAAGAAGATGAAGCTTTTTGGGAAGAACATGAGGTAACACTTTAACATGTAACTTTTCTTTTAATTTAATTAGGTAACACTTTAACATGTAACTTGTGGATGTAGGTTTTGGTTAATAATTCATAGTCAACAACATGTGTTTGAAGCAAGGAGAGGATGTGATAGCTACATGGTGGATTTAGATGGAAGGCATTGTACCTGCAGGTTATAGGATCTGGCTAGGATCCCATGTGTTCATGCCATTGCAACTATCAACTATATCCATCAAACACCTGATGAGTATATTGATGACATGTTTTCCAAGGAACAATTCCTTAAGTGTTACTCTGCTAACATTAGTCCAGTAAATGGTTCTAATCTATGGCCTCAAACTGAATTCATAAAGCCATTGCCACCAGTGTCAAGGAGAATGACTGGTAGGCCAAAGGTCAATAGAAGGAGACATGTAACTGAAAATGATGGAAGAGTACACACCCCAAGAACTGTAAGGTGTGGTAAGTGCTTTGAGTATGGCCATAACCAGAAGGGATGCAAGAATGCAACCAGGGAACCTGTCCTAATGCCACCAAAGAAGAAAGGAAGGCCAAGGAAGGAACAATGTGAACCCAGTCAAGCAGCATGTGATAGGTCTGAGAGGCAGGAACCTGTCCCTATGCCACCAAAGAAGAAAGGAAGGCCTAGGAAGGAACAATTTGAACCCAGTCAAGCATCATGTGATAGGTCTGAGAGGCAGGAAGCAGTTCCTATGCCACCAAAGAAGAAAGGAAGGCCAAGGAAAAAGGTCCAATCTGACCCAAATCAAGCATCAGGTTCTAAATCTGTTAAAAGCAAAAAGAAGTTGGGGATAAAAAAAGGTGTTGGCATTGTGGAAGATAGAGTTCTACTTGATGAACATGATGGTTTAGATGGTCATGTTGAAGGTAGGGGATGTGAGGAACAAGTGAAAGATTTGTTTGACAAAGAAGATATTGATGATGACAGTTTGGTTGATATGATGTGCACTTTTGAAGCTTCTCTTAGCCAATCAAAGGATAATTATCAGAAAGGTGATGGATTCCAAGATGCAATGGATGCTATTATTCAAAGTATTCTTCATGCTAATGATGACAGAGGTGTTGAGGATGTTGAACCTGACCTGACAAAAACACTTGATGAGGTTGAAGATGCAATGGATGCTATTCTTACAGGTATTGATCAAAAAAGTCAATCTGAGAATGAGGATAATCTTGAACCTGAATTCACTGAAGAAAATGCAAGTGATGTTCTCCCAGAGATGGTGATGCTAGATCTAGAAAGTGTAGCAGACCTACTTGGGGCAGGATATAGCATGGCTGAAATAGAGAGCTTGAGAGGGTTCAAAGTTGAGTTGGATGATATGCCAACAGTTGAGATGGTTAGTTTGACATCATCATTTTATAATTGCTAACATTAGTAACAAACATGTTTATATATTTTATTAATAAGTATTCTTCAAATTTTTATTAACAGGATGTGAATGAAGTTGAGGATATTCCATATGTTGATGGTGTGATGGAAGGTAATGAAGATGATGGTCTTATAAATGAGGGTGTGGAGGAAAATGAGGGTGATGGTGAGGGTGATGATGCTGATGAAGTAGCAGGTGAGGGTGATGGTGATGGTGCTGGTGAGGGTGATAGAGAGGGTGATGGTGCTGGTGATGATGAAGAGGGTGATGGTGATATTGAGGATGAAGGTGCTGGTGCTGGTGAGGATGATGCAGCAGATATGGAGGGAAATGATGCTGATGATGAAGGGCATGTACCACCTAGAAGGACAAGAAAGCCCTCAGAAAGGATCATCCTGCAAAAGCTGAAGAAACCTTGTTTTGACAAAGATGGAAGGGGTTCCACATCTAGCTATCCAGTAGATTTGGAGTAGTTACCTAGGTATATGGGGGCAAAAGTGGGGATGGTATCATTGGGCAATTGTATAGGTAACCCTTTTTTGTTATTTTTTGATATACACCCACTACTTGTAGCATACATCCATTTGTTTAGTGTTACATTATGGCTTGCCTTTTTTGGGTGATTTTTAGGCTTTTGGGTTCATGTTTTGGTATACAAAATGGATGGCTGCTACATGCTAGTAAAACTTATGTAATGGATGCTTTATATTAAGGTTTATAATGGATGCCCCCTATTATGGTAACCATGATGTTTTTATTTTATTTTCTAGTACATGTTAAGCATTAACAATGTACTTTCATTAGTGCAATTCCTTTTATGCAAGTTAGTACAATTCCATTCATGTAAAGTTTACTTTCATTGTGAATGTAACCAAGGGTATTTTAGTACAATTCCATTCATGCAATGTACTTTCATTGTGCAATTCCATTCATGCAATTCCATTAGTGCAATTCCATTCATGCAATGTACTTTCATTCATGTAATTCCATTAATACCATTAGTGCAATTCCATTAATACCATTAGTGCAACATTCAGCCGTATGCAAAGTGAGATAGCAATTAACTACCATTAATAACATTACCATAAATACCCTTAATACATTAGTGCAATTCCATTCATGCAAAGTTTACTTTCATTGTGAATGTAACCAAGGGTATTTTAGTACAATTCCTTTTATGCAATGTACTTTCATTGTACTTCCATTCATGCAACATATACATGAGATAGCAATTAACTACCATTAGTAACATTACCATTAATACCCTTAATACATTACAAACATGTAACATTCAGCCGTTCAAAAAAAACATTACAAAGATGTAACAATTCTTGATTATGCTTAATATATTACTAATACAGGAAAAACCAACAAAACTATATCTTAATAACCACTATTCCTAGCATCAGCGATATAACCACTAACAACCCTATGATCACTTCTAACAATGGCTTGATCTCCTCTGTATGACACATCTCCATATTTTGACATAGTTCTTCATCCGTCCATTTGAAAAAACCACAGTTGCCTCCTTCCACCTACAAAAAAAAAATTAGGGTTCTATTACATACGTTCCTCTTTGGGAAGTTAGAGCAGCCCTAAAATTTTAGGGAGAAATTAGTACAAAAATAAATAGATTTTTACCTGATAATTAGGGTAGCCCCAAAATTTTCGTCCTGGGTTATCAGGTGTTCGTGAGACTGATACACCACAAACATCACCACAGTCGCATCTTATTACCTTCTTGTTCCTCATTCTTGTACCACCATTAAAGCTTGATCTTGAAGACGAAGTTGTCATTTTTCCATTGTAGTCTGTGACTAACTGTGGGGGTCGAAGGGATCAATTGCACACGAGGATGTCTGTGAATGAGTTATTAAATGATAAATGCCAAGTATCTTCAAGTGGTAACCGGTTGATTAAAGGGAAACCAGCTACTTGGCAAAAACGACACATTAAATGCAAGTTTAAGGCAAAAATGGATCTAAATTTGAACTTTGGGCAAATCCGTCAATTTTGTGCAAATTTGAGGGTTTTTGTGCCATTAGCCCTTTTTTGTGATATTTTTAAAATAAATAATATCTATATGTAAATTTCTGGAATTTTAATTTTTTTAATTTTTTACTCCATCCGTCCCAAAATTATTGTCCACCTTACTATTTTAGTTTGTCCCAAAATTATTGTCCACTACCAAAAGTAGATATACACTTTTACCATATTACCCCTAACATTTAATAAAGTAAAGTTGAATAATTACAAACACACATTTCCCATTGGTTTTAGAAAATGGCAAGATGGTCATTTTACTCAAAAAGACAAAACTAATGATTGCTTTTCTTAATCTATGTGTTTTTTGTCTATGGACAATAATTTTGGGACGGAGGAAGTATAATTTAAAACCACATAAATTTTTTATTTATATATAATGTATTAAATGTAATTAATGTGATCGTAAATTGCAATTAATATAATTTTTTCTTCTTTATTATAAATCCTAATCTTTAAAAAAAAATATATTAATGTTATAATATAAATGTTTACCTCATAAAAGCAATTTTTTTTAGATAATGACAGTAAATTTAGCAATATGATATTTAATGATGTATTCAATTTTTTTAGGAATTTATGATTCAAAACAATTATTTATAATATGTAAATAGGGTATTAGTATAAATTGAATTACTTATTACTCATCATTTTATTTGTATTTATTTCAAAATTTTAGTTAAAATGATGTTTAATGTTTTCAAATTGATATATATTTTGTTTAATCAATCCGTACACCACACGGGTCTCACACCTCGTATTCAATAATTGACTTTTTTCTATACATTTTTACTTTAAAAATACAAGAAAACATACAAAAAGTATATGGGCTGTCACATTTCTTAAGTTGTAAATAAGACATCACCTATAAACACGTAAACAATAATTAACATATGAAAAGTTAAACCCGTTTGTTGAATAATAATAATAACAACAATAGAAATAATAGTAAATCATATACTTTTTAATATAGAATTTACCCATTTTTGTCAACGTTTAAACATGTAAATAATTAAAAAGTTGTCAATTTTTTTCCCAAGGTGTAACACGTACTATATCAATTATTAAGTGTAAAAATGGCAGAAAAATTAGGAAAATAAAGTAATGTCATTGTGAGTGTCGAAGTAGGATTCTCGGCTGGTGTATGTGTTATATAGTAAGAATTTTCTCATAAAATGAATCAAAATAACAATCTATGGGTAATAATAATAATAATAATAATAATAATAATAATAAAAAGATTATCACTTATGCATAAGGTTCGCCCCTTAACGATTCATGTTTTTCTTGGGTTGTATATATGAACAGCATATCAATTTTCATTATGATTTGCCGTCGTAAATGTCTTGACACATGCATCAATCTCGACCTCTTCTTACCAAACCTTATATCAGATTCAGTTTGCTAAACGCATCATCCTTGGCTACTAAGAACTAATAGAATACAATATTTCTAATGCAATGTTTTTTTTTTCCCTTCTAATAATGCTCACAGTTTTTAATAATGTTGCGTGTCTATTTGTGCCATATATGATATATCATATATGTGATGACTGTATAGTTTCTGTTTATTTAACTAGTGTATTAAGTACTTATTAGAATTTTCATAGACATTTATGGGAAAAAGGAAATTGAACATTTACATACACGATGCCTTTTCTCTTTGTTCAAGTAAAAAGTTTTCTCATTCCAATAAAGATTTTGTTTTGCATGTATGTTTAAGAGTTAAGACATAGCCTATATATCGATTAAAAAAATCAAAACCATTCATATAATAGTGTATTAACGTATGAAACTACTAATATCATGTTGTTTCTTCTATATCACAAAAAGAAAAAAACATGATACGATTATGAATATATAGCATGTCATGATTAAATTATTATATATATATATATTAAAGTTATGAAAAGTTTTAACAGTAACATTGACCCTTCATCTTTATGCTTTTGTTCACAAACAACCCTTTCACTTTGGTTTGAATTTTTCATAACTCTCGCCTTTTATTACATATTATAAGTATTTAGTCTTTTGGCAGAAATGGTCACTCATTATTATTATTATTATTATTAGACAAAATTACACGATTGGTCCCTGTGGTTTACCACATTTAACATTATCTTTTTGGTTTTAAATTAATGTTTTATTTATTAGAAAATACTCACCCAATACCATAAACCCACCCACCATCTGCCATCACCACCACCACCACTACCGCCAAAATTACATAAATGGTCCATATGGTTTACCCATGGTGACAAATTCAGTCCTTACTACCTGAAAAGACCAAATTACCCTCACATTAACGGACAAAAAGCAACCAACATGCTACTTTACTTTACAAAGCAATACCTTCCGACCCCGGCAACGCCGGAGAATCTTTTCTAGTTTTAATTATTTTTTGTTTGTTAGAAGAAATACATTTACGATTTACAAGCAAATGACGTCTATAGGTCGTCGAAAGAGCAAGGGCGATTCCACTTTTTCATTAGACACGCTTTAATTTCAAACTTTTTTTAGTGATCATATTATATTTTTACGACAAAACTGCAAGATTGGTCTTTGTGGTATTCAAAAAACTTTGGATAGGGTCCAAAAAGTTTTCAACTTCCATGGAAGGTCCAAAATCAAAGTTTTTCTGGGTTTTTGTGGTTCATTATACACATAAAAAGTCGATTTTGCCCTTTTCATTTCTTTTTTCTATTTTCTTTATTTATTTTGGCATTTAAATAATTAAAAATAAATAATAAAAAATAAAATCTCTCTCTCTCTCTCTCTCTCTCTCTCTCTCTCTCTCTCTCTCTCTCTCTCTCTCTCTCTCTCTCTCTCTCTCAATACTTTAGCTTTGCAAATCTGCATCTCAAACGAAATAAAAAATCCTTTATGTGTTTAAAAATTTTACTCATCGCAACACCAAATTCTTTTGACCAAGTGTCGATAATCATCGGTCCATATGAAGTTGCAATCAATAACTTGACGATATTACGGAATCAATAATCATTGAAGCAACAACCATAGAAACCCAGGTATTTTGTTCATAGCCATATCGACGAACCCAAAAAAATACCAAAATAATCTTCTACTTAAGATAATCCAAAATCGTTTTAACACACAGGGAATCGTTAACATATTTAAGACCATTTATCGATATCCAATTGAATGAAATAAGCACAAAAATCGATAAAATCATAAACTAAGATGAAGAATAAGAGGATGGAGGATGAACCCTAATGCCACCAACAATATAAATCATCCAAGAAATAGCCAGAGAAAGAGATTAGTCAAATTGTTTTAGTAAAACAATGAGCTTAACAGATGATCCAAGAGCCTTTGAAATCTGATGAACGATGATAAGCAAATTCGGTGGCAGGAGCATAAATCGATGATGAAACCTTCATCCATGTTCAAAAACCATTACAAAACTGCAACTAAATCAAGACCAAGACCCATCAATTCCATGAAATCAAACCCAATGAACTTAAATCACCACATCCAACCCTTGA